TAAATTCAATATTGACCTGACAATAGCCAGAAGAATATTCCATGCAATTTAGAATGAAAGCTGATCAAAATGAAACACATAAACGACACGCTGTTATTGACGTTTTCTACTTTTCCGAAAACTAAGGGGGTTATGATTGACAATCTGTGTTATTTTTAACAGGTTTGTTATTTTATAAACACACAGAAATTACAACCTGTTCACAAATAATAACGTGTCTGTTAAAAATAACATTGCTTGTCCATCATAACCCCCTAACTGGATAGTTCGAAAATCATTTCCGTCGTTAAAGCGCCGCTTGTTCCGAAAAAGGTACACGCTTGTCAACATTCATCATTCATTAAAAAAGTAGTAGATAAAAAATGCTTCGTATTGTAAGGCCAAAATATATTTAGAAATCAAAAGAGTCATATAAACAAAAAAATCATATAAGTGAGACAACTACAAAATTAATGATTTACAAGTTTATTCTTATTATCTATAAAATAGGTTTGCAATGTGCTGATGTGGAATGTTATCATCGACTAAAAATTTTAAATCTTTGTATTAAATTGATCGAAAACAATCCATAAATTGGTTTAGACTATAAAGAATGTTTCTAGTAAGCAGCGAATAATTTTTATTATGGAACCGAAATACCCTTTTAAAAGGGTTCAAATTAAAATAAAATATGTACCAAGTAAATGTAGTAGTATTTTTTAATTTTTTAACTTATATTGAAAATGGTAACATGAAAGGTTTTCTGTCTAATTATAAGTAACGACTCATTGTCTCGGCTGACAAAATGTAAAAAAAATATCAAACATAATATTCCTGGGCGAAAAGCAATTGCCCCCTATTTTGCACTCCCCAGATTAAATTGAGTTGTAGCAAATAAGATGTCAAATCACAAGCAAAATCTCGTGACTACACTACTAATGACTGCCTGTTTGGAAAAGTATCTTTGTAAATATTTATATGTATAGTTATATTTAATCCAGGTTAAGTGTCAGTGCGCGAGTGTAATGTTAAGTATGAACAAAATCCGCTCATTCTGTATATAGGTACGTTTAGTTTCCGACCCTAGTAAGAAGCCAATTTGTTATTGCTTTACTTTTAAGTAGGGAGAGCGAAAATCAATATTAGGATAAATGTTCCAGCCCCTTATTGGTTACGTACCTAAAAAGTATTTCAGTTTTTGGTTAAGTAATTAATTGTAACACTGATTTTTTGTAAGAGTACCTACCTACCTAATTTAGATTGTCGATTAACGTTTTTGTATATAACTTCGCTGTTTAATAATAAACGAAGTCAAAACCGGAACACGTGGTTTTATTCTGGAAAGTATTTTTAAATTGAAACACGCACGCCGTTCGAGTGAAAATGTTTTAAGTAGTTCAAAACAATATAGTTGTAGCAAATAATACGAAATCAAATAAGATGTCAAATCACAAGCAAAATCTCATGACTACAGTAATACCCAGACAACACACCAAATCCCAGACATATCCACAGAATATCTTTTGTGGATATCCAATATATCCATAGGATATCTGAAATATTCCGTGGATCTAATATGGATATCCAAATGTCCGTCTATATCCAGAATATAGAAGATATCCTATGGATATCCAGCAAAATATCTAATGGGTATCTTCCAGACAATACAAGAAATCCCAGAGATATCCACAGAATATATTTTGTGGATATCCAATATATTATCCACTGGATCTAATATGGATATCCAAATGTCCGTCTATATCCCATGATATAAAAGATATTTGGATATTCAGCAAAATGTTTTATGGGTATATTTAGTAGAGATTCATAGGTAACCAATGATTATTGCACAACGTCAAAAGAAAATAGCAGATAAAAAATATTTTGAACACTCCGCCTTTGATTTTTCCCACTAAGGAGAAAGTCATCCTTATTAGGACTCTTCAGCAATAAATGGAAATTCTCGACTCCAGTTTCTAATGGAGTCTGATTGGGATACCCATTTCGATAGAACTCAATTACGGCGGGTTAAGCATGAGTAAATGTTCAACGAGCGAAAGTGGTGTCGCCATCTATACTTAGTAAGCAAAATCAAAAATTAGATCTAGTAGATATCCACCATGGTTTGCGTTCGCGCCTAGACTTTGATATATTTAGTGGATGTCCATGGGATATTGAATACACCTTAAAAAAATTAATTTTAAATATCTGAACGGTACTATTAGCCACAATGGCTAGCACAATGGCGTAATTTTTTAATAATTTGCTATATAATTACTATTATCCACCATGGACTGGACATTCAGTTTATATTGGGATGTTTAGTATATATCCAAAGATTTGCTGTGCTGTCTGGGTAATGATTGCCGAAAATTAACTAATTCATATTTTATGCCATATCTTCCTTAAAAAGGACTTTCAGAACCATATTTGCCTTAATTTGAATTTTTTTCATCGTTTTCTAAGTATATATAATCATCTCTAAAAATGTATGATTGAAACATCGTGTGAACTATTTGTTCAATCAATAAAAAACTTGCACCGGTCCTGTTCGAGCCAGCACCGTTATACGCATGAGCTCCGACACACTATTTTCTCCGGAAGAAAGCACTGCGGTCACTACTGGGCCCACTGCAGCGAATAAACAGCGTTTTATCTTCACATACAACGCATATCATAACCGTGCCTTGCCAGTTTACTAGCCGTTTGGGGCCTGTACTATCAGTTGTATATGTGTTTATTATTTTGTTTTTGTGTATCGCGGAAGCATTCGTCGAGAGAACTGCAATCTATATGTATAATATAGTTTACGATGTTGTAAATTTCCTTTAAAATACAATGCCTATTAGGAAATTATTTTTATTATAACGCGGCACACACGCGGCTAAAACGCTGTGGGTCACCTACGCACACCGGCTTGACAACATAGCTTGCCATGGACGGTTCGTGTCGGTACCTGCAAAATATTCTCGCCGTGAAATTGTTGACGGTTTCTGTCATGGCACGCTACGGTGTTGGCCGGTGACGGAACGGTCTAGTGGGCGTTGTCGCATATCAAAACATGCAAAGAATATTTAGTTGTATGTGTCGATACGGTTACGATCCTAGTATGGTAAGGTGTAATGGGCAGAGACCTTAATATTTACACTTTCACCGGTCCAGTAGCTGGTAGTAGTATAGCAAGTATACTTTATTTCTGTCTGTTCAGCTGTATCAATAGCGTTGATAATACCGTTCTCTGGAGAGAGGCTTGAATAGTTAACATATTGCATATATTAAAAATAAACAATAATATATGCATATAAGAATTTCAAATTCGATAGCGTTGAATCGATGGTATTTAGTAGAAACATTTGGTGTCTTAGTCTTAGTGTCTTATTTATTAGCCATAAAAGTAATATTTTTATTAAGTTCCTAAGGCAATGTGGCCTAAAGAAAAAGGAGACACGGTTCGGCTGTCTGAACAGAATGTCGATTTCACTTGTTTTGTGTTTAATTTTGGAAATAGATTAATTTGATAAAAATATCGTGTTTTCTTACATGTATATATATCATAAAAAATAAGGGGGGGAAAGTGAGGTTAGTTGAATAGGGTGAAGTTAGTTACCTCTGATTAGGTAGCCTTTAACACATTGTGTGCCACGCTGTTATCGGGAAAATAGCCCCAGGGACCAAACTACATTTTTGCAATGTTTGTATGTATTTACTCAAAATAAAGGTTTTTTTTGATCATTCTGTTTTTTTTTGTAGTTTTTAGCAATTTTTCACTTTTTCTGTGAGCGACGTGGCTCTGAAGCAAAAAAAGTTGTAATATTTAAGCTGGGGGCCATGTCTCTCAAATATGATGCATAGTTACAAAATCCAAAGCTAAATTGACATACAATTATTGCGACAAGTGCCCCGGAGAACCTCAAATATGTGCGTCATGTTTCAATGAAAAACATTAATTCTTAATTTTTTTCAGTTTCTCTTTTTTCTTTTTGCAGTCTCTAAAAACGTTTTCATTTTTTTATTAAAATAAGCAATCCCATAATAAATTTTGTTTTATTCTCGCATATATGATAAACGTGGCACGCAGTGTGTTAAGAAAAAAAAAAGATCGCCAGGATATACTTAACTTCTTCCTGGTTAAAACTCGTTAAATTACGGATGGTGGAATATAACTTACTGTAAAAAGAGTTTTAAAATATATGAGAAATTTAGTTATGGCTCAACTGTAGATCGGTGGAATTTGGTCCTATAACTATTACCTATAATCTTTTAGAATACGTTATCATTGATTTAAAAATCACTTTTTATGTGTAATTAAAGTTTTGGGATTCTATTTAGAAAGGACGGAGGGTGATAATAAATAGCTATTTTCCAAATATAAAAAGCCACAACGTCCTGCAATATATTAGCCGTTGGTTGAAATTAAGCTCACATGATGAAATAGATAGCGAAGTATTTAATTCTTATTTTACACGTCGTGCCTCTACATATGCTGGTAATAATTTGGAAGTTAGTATTGACACATTTAAACATACCCCAGATTGACAAAAAAAAACCAGTAGGTAACACTTATTTAACAATTTCTATAAAAGATTTTTTATAAATGTTATGAATCACGATCAAAATAAATTTGCCCTTTTAATTTCGATTTCATTATGTTCATTGTATCTACCTATTTTGAGTTATAAGTTACATCGTACTTAAATTCGTGAGAATTAAGTCTGTTAGTGCAATAAAATAATACTAGTAGGGTACTTAGGATATACCTAAACAGTTCGAATAATGGTTCAATCGTTGGGATTAGAATAAAAATGTTCTCGGTAGTTGTGTTTGATCTCTTCTTTAAACTTTAATAAACCAATAAAATGAGGACCAAATAACTGATTTTCGAATAGCCTGCACCAAACGCTGATTGAAGAGCTATCCTGAGGTCTTACGCTATGAATTAGGTGAGGGTTTTCAGTAGAATCATAATGTTTGCTTTGCCGATTAAACATACTATAGAACAAAATAATTTAGTACAGATTTACCTTTAATTGTTTTTCTTTCTCCATTGTAATAGCTTTAACGGTATTTATGCAAGTGTATACGAAACTGAGCATTATTATCATTCCAAGCAAGCCTTCTATGGCTGTTAGCAAGGTATCCGAATACCAAGAGGCATACGGAAACCTTCTCATTTGAATCCAAGGAAACTGGTTGTCAAGTAACCATGGTATAGCGTCAATAATATCAGTCACCCCGTTTTTGGAAAGAATTATAGAAGTTGTCACCAAATGTTGAACAAATAAAAACTGCTCTTTGTAATAACCTGTAAGTAAAACAATTAAACGTAATATATACAGAATTTTTCATAAGGAATCGCAATATTTTTGTAATGTTTTTTTGAAATGTGGTAAATCTTGTTTTTAATTTTATGATCTCGAAAGTTATCAAATGACATCTTTAAATTGAATTCCACTTACTTGGACCTGCTCCTGTATCATTGTATGGACTTCTAGGACCCGCAGTTTGAAAAATGGGATACACTAAATTGGTCAGCCAGTTTTTAGAAATAGTGTCCATTGGAAAGACAAGTTCCGCGGGAAATCTAAAAAAAAATATTTGGTGCAGTGTTGAGTCAAAAAATATCAAAAACAGAGAGCACCAAAAGTGATTTTTTTAGGCAAAATAAAAACGCAATGTTTATTAGTGTCCAGAGGATAAACAATATTTTTAGGTATACCCCTGAATACACCTCTATGAAAGCATGCGCTTGAAAGTTTTCTTTACACGGTACCTATACATCCGATTTTCTAAGAAGAGAAACATAAACAGTGTCACAATGAGTAAATAGTGAAAGAACTAATGAATCCGTTAACTATTTTTTTTTTGCTTGACAGTTTAAAAACGATCAATGGGGATAAATTAAACTTAGCGAAATGAATTACTTCATACGCTAGCCACCTGCGTTTTTCGTACCCAAACAAAATGGCGAAAAAATTTTCGGGTTAATTTTTAATAGCTGTCTTTTTGATAAATAATTATTGCTTTGTATTTATGCCATGTTGATGTCAGATAAAGAAAACGAATAATATAATTATATATCTATATTATCTGCGTAGGGATAGATATGTATTAAAGTTAGAAGTGTACATAGTGTATAGCAGGGGTTACAAAATACTGTTTGTGCAACACTTGCAAACTTAAAGAAAAATAATTTTTGATTACTTTTTGTTCTTTGGCTGAAAGAAATAAGCTCATTAAATTAATAGCAGTAGTACTTAAATATACATATTGTAAAATTGAAATCATTACTTATAATTTAAATTTTCAAAGGCAAAAAAGTAGTCAAGCAAAATTAAGAAGAAAAGTTTATTATTGTACAGAGAATTAATAATATTGTTAAAAACATACATATTTTCAACTATACTTCTGAACACCTCTGTTTAAACACGCGCTTGCATAGAAACAGAAAGTGTTACGTCTGCATAATTTTTCGCTGAAAATAAATATTTCATGATGCAATATTTCTGTAATCCTGGTGCAGAATTAGAAGCTCGTTGAATAAAACCAATCGTCAGACTATTTTATTTCACTCTTCATAATCTTCATCTATCCGTTGTACGAGACACATGCCATGAGTTAATAGATCGGTATTTTGTGTTAAAAATATATTTTCTGAGAAATCAAATGCAGTTCAAAAAAATCAACATGTGCAACTTTAAGTAAATAATATAAAAAATTTTAATATTCTTATCAAGAAATTTCTCAAAAATCTTCATTCCAGAATAAGCTGTTCATCCAGAAATAAGAAGTCAACAAATAAAGACAAATAAAAAGCAACCGCTGCTCTCAAGTTATCACTATTGTTTCTTCAAATGTCATCTGTGACTGTACTTAATGTTGTGGAATTAGTATAGCCACTTCTAAAGTCTGTTTGGTTTAATGGTTATATCGTAACAGATTCAATATTCCTTCTTATTTGACGTTTTAATATTTTCTTAAATACTTTAGAGAATGTAGAAAGTATACTAATACTTCTTAAGTGACTACACTCTGATGGCTTCAAGATTTTTAGTAAGCTTACTACAAAACATAAACCTTTTTCTAAAAATTAGGAAAATAACAATGGTCTATCAGTAAATATTTAAATTGTCAAAACAATGTTTGATTATAGAGGTGTTTGTCCCGTTTTTCTCGGCCAAACTCGCATAGCTTCTTAACCTTGTTCAAAAGAGTTTAGTTGGCCTTTTCGACTGCGCCAACTGTGTTGGCTACGTTATTACTTTTGGTCCATTCATAGCATGTCACAACGTTATAAAGGCAGGGTATACGTCCAGAGATGCCAAATGCCAACTATCTTGTGGAACATTGCTAAAATTTTGCTAATTTCTAGTTTATATAATATAGAATTGTTAAAAAAATGGATTCAGGTATATTTTGTGTTTTAGATATGGCAGATACTTTCAAATAACTTTGATAACCAGCATTCTCTCCTCTTTCTTTGAAACATCAGTATTGGTGTCATCTGAATGTCTCCTACTTTTTGGGTTGTTTTTAATAGTTTACGACAACATTTCGTCCCTCTTATCTTAACGTCATTTGTTTTAATTATTTTATATCTGAATATTTCTATATTTTTCGGTGAAACCTAGTACGTTTTTTCAAAAAAAATACTGAAGATAAAAGGCAGTAATATTTCTAAACCCCCATATATTTAGTTGACAAATCAAAAAATATAACACTAAATAATATACTAACCTTACTGATATACTTAAATCTTGCACGCTGGTCCAATCTAAATTTCCGCTATATTTATCAGGAAATTCTATACCAATATATGTAGCGTTCGAATTCATTGCAATTGTTTGAAGTTCTCGAGCATTTTCCATTCCGATCACATTGTCTTTAAATACTGCTTTAAAGAATTCCATTGATGAATCAAAGATTGAATTACTTGGAGAATAGACAATAGTTCTAAAAATAAATGTAATAATAATATTCATATAAATACTTAAATATATAAAAGCCACCAATCAGAAACAGATATGGAAGCTGGACCCGAAACAATTTGCAAAAAGCACAAAGATTTGCGGAAAATTTAAAGAGTGTCTTTCAACTCAATTATGATGAAGATCTTTAAGATTGGATGGAACTAGCACAAGAAGACAGAGTCGTTAAACCTACCTCTTCAAAACAAGTTTAAATGGAAATATAAACAAATATAAATTCGAAAAAAGCCTACTGTTTTGACCTCATTACTTTGGAAGTTTTGAAAATGCTTCCACAGACAGCTATTGTTAATATCAAAAGTTTTATTAATACCTAAGTCAGGTATACTTCTGGAAGATCGAAGATCTAGAAGCTGGACTGGAGCCTACCGACTTTAAACAAGTTTCATCCAATTTAACCATGGCCTTCATTAAAAGGCGTGGTTTATACAGTAAACTATAAATTAGACATGAGCTATAATAGATAAATTTGGGTCGCAGTGGAAGGCGATGAGATTATTTCACTTATTTTCAACCTACCAGTTTGGCTTCAGAGAAAAATACTCGACCATCGACGAAGTTCATAGAATTACAGACATCATCGAAAAATCCATAGAAGAATAAAATATTGTTTTATCGTCTTTATACTGGCTTCAATAGCTGATCGACATTTATTGTTCCACCATGGCCACTGTACTATGTCGCTTAAAATAGGAGGTTTTCTCAATTGATATGTTGGCAGCCTGTTTTATAGCATTTTCAAAGTTCTCAAGGGAGATATCTATATCGGGTGTAACTTCACAGGAATTGACATGCTGCTCAAGTACCACGGAGAAAAGATTCCAGTCAGCCTTTTTTAAATTCCACTTTGGATAGTTTGTGTTATAGCCAAAGTGTTTTTTATTATTGCAAATAATATTAAGGTAATGATTACTATTATATATGTAGTCTACTTTGTTCCATGTTAATGATGGAGTCAAAGTTGGATCGCAAATTGTTAAGCAAGAAGATTCTCCAGTACGTATATTAAGCCTAGTGAGCCTACCGTCATTGAGGATGGAGAGTTTCTAAATATTTAGTACTTCTAAAATTCAGCCCTTATTATTTATAAAAGCCCCACAAAAAGTTATGCCCATTGAAGTCTCCAACAATAAGTCTGGGTTTGGATAACTGCCTGGCAAAAGGGAGAGTTAATACAGTTATGGTATTAAAACCAAATGGAAGCTTCACGGAGAGTGAGGAGGAAAGAGCTCGCCTCTTACACAAAACTTACTTTGCTCGAAGCACACCTTTTCTAATAAGGGACACAACTAAGGTAAGCAGGCCCCCAAGAGAGGCTGCTGTAGTGGGGAAACATATATGCAGTAGAAGTCGGTTAAAATGGGCCGTAAACACTTTTGAACCGTTTAAGTCTCCCGGTATGGATGGAATATTTCCTGCCCTGCTTCAGCAGGTACAGGAGGACTTACTACCACACATAATTAGGCTATCCTGGGGCAGTCTGGAGCTGGGATATATACTAGAAGCATGAAGAAGGGCTAGAGTCATCTTTATTCCAAATCCTTCCGACCAATCAGCCTCACATCCTTTGTATTAAAATCAATGGAGAAGGCCGTTAATAATTATATCAGAACGGAAGTCCTGGAGAGAGTGCCACTTTACCACAGCCAACACGCGTACCGAGTAGGAAGATCTACAGAAACTGCCCTGGTACAGTTGACTGACGTAATAAAGGATGCACTGACAAACAAAGAAACGGTCGTGTGTGCCTTCCTAGACATAGAAGGATCTTTTGACAATACGCCACACGAATCTGTAAAAAGAGCACTTGCATACAGAGGAGTAAATAACATCACATCCAGATGGATGGCTCAGCTATTATTACGGGAACTGCAGAGACATAGATAGGGCAGGACAACATCTCCATCTGCACAACCAGAGGATATCCACAAGGAGGAGTTTTATCCCCACTAATGTGGAGCCTAACCGTAGACGAACCTTTATGCAGATTGACTGACCTCGGCATACTCTGTCAAGGTTATGCCGACGACATAGTCATATTTGCTTGAGGCAAGTTTAGTACTATCCTGTGTGATATAGCAATGAAGACTAGAACATATCAAAAGATGGTGCCGTGAAGTGAAGTAGAAACTCTACAAAAACAACACTAATAGCCTTTTCAAAGAAAAGAAAACGTGATTTCGAAACCGTTAAATTAGACGGGATAGATATAGAATGAAAAAATGAGGTCAAATATCTAGGCTTAACCCTGGACAACAAACTTTTCTGGAATACACATGAGAAGGAAGTAGTAAATAAGGCCACAAAAGCCCTAATGGTATGCAGAAACATTGCAGGCAAACGATGGGGATGTAACCCAAACATACTGCGATGGATGTATACTGCAATAATGAGACCAATCATCACTTACGGGGTTATAGCCGGGAGCAACAGAACTAGTTTAGCTACTACGAGAGCTAATATCTCAAAAGTACAAAGACTAGCCTGTGTTTGCATTATGGTGCAATGAGAACCTATCCTACGGCCGCAATGGAGGTGATCTTAAACCTCACCCCTCTACATTTGATGATAGAGAATGTAGCAAAAAGGACACGATATAGAATGATCAGGAACGGAGTAATCAGACGAAAGTCTACTTGCTTCAGGATTAAAGATACCTAGGACATGCTCCAGGATGAAATGCTAAAGTAGTACAGTTTTGTGAAAAACTTCAAAACCACAGAGCTGGGCTGTAAGAAAGAATGGAGCCAAGAATCCATCGCGCTTGCAACCAAAAGACGTGCTATTCAGTGGTATACAGACGGTTCCAAAACCATAGACGGAACTGGAATAGGTGTGCATGGGCCGAGAACCAAGCACTCCGAAAGCTTGAGAAATTACCCAAGCATCTTCCAGGCGGAAATCCAACATCGAAAAAAACTATCATAAACAAGAGATTATCATCATGTATGATAGTCAAGCAGCCATCAAAGCTCAAAAATGGTATGGAGATGCCTAGAACAACTGAATGAGCTAGACGAGAAAAATAGAGTTACTTTCACTTGGGTCCCGGGACATAACGGGGTACAGGGTAACGAGATCGCAGATAGTCTTGCAAAGAAAGGAGCTCTAACACCATTTGTAGAACCTGAGCCGTTCTGCGGTATCAGCAGGAGAGATTAAAAAAGAATTGGGCAGTAGAAGAACCGATAATTAAAACAATTTCTTGGGGCTAAGACAGGTCAAGATACTTCTGGGTGAATCTAAGCAGAAAAGGTTGGAAGCCTGCATCTGCCTGAGCAAGAACAGGCTACGTGTTGTAACAGGGATCCTTACCGCGCATTGCCGACTAAAAGGACACCTTTGTAAACTGAGAGTAGCAGAGGATACTGAGTGCAGATTCTGTGAGGAGGAGGACGAAACCTCCATTCACATCTTAACTGAATGTGTAGCTAGCTCTCCAGAATCCAAGGGCACTATATCTAGGAGAATATCAAATAGAAAAGGGAGATTTACCTAACTTGAAACCACTTCCTTGAGAAAATAGGATTGGAAGGATCGTTATAGGCATTAAGACATTTTTTTGGTGCATTAGCGAAAGAAGGGGGCACAATAGATCTTTTACGTCGCAGTGTATTAACACCCCATTCCCAACATAATATAACATAACTGCTTTATTAAGTCGGGTTTATCATAAATACATTTAAAATAGGTGTTTAAATGCATAAATGTGTGAAAAGACCTAAAAAGTACCTACTAAAGAACAAAATTTACTTTTTGATCAAATATTGGTCAGAAAAATGAGCATAGGAAATGTAGATCGTGAAGAAATACAGAAAATATTATCGAATAAACAAAGGCAATCCATAGAAACCCAAAAACTAAAAAAATATGAATCTGAATTTTGCAATTTGTTTAGACCCAGCTGTTCCTCTCATACTACTACAATATTGTCAGGGTCAGAATCTGACTCCTTAAAATATCAGTGCTCTTCAGATGATGACTTTATCAATTCAAACTTACCCTCTAACTCAAAAAACACCCAAATGAGAACAAAATTACCTACGTTAGGTCTTCTATGCGATAAATATGGTATATCTGATAGATCAGCTGCTGCGATTGCTAGTGCAGTATTAAAAGATGTAGAAATAATTGCCACAGAAGATCCATCGAAAATAGTTGACAAAAATAAAATGATAAGAGGGCGAAAGAAATCTAGAAATACCGCAAGGAAGAAGTTTGAACATGATAACAGAAGAATAAAAAGTCTTTATTTTAATGGAAGACAGGATAAAACGTTACTGCAAGAGAAGAAAACCAGTAGATTATACAAGAAAACTGTTGTCGAAGAACACATTGCTTATCGAGGAATCTGGATCTATCTATAGTGTTGTCCAATGAAAATTATCCATCCCCCTTTTCTTTTATAGAAGAAATCGATTTTTGCTTGGAAGGGGACATATTTTTTCCTAGTTGCATAATTGGCACTTTAAGCCTCGAACAATGGTGTGAACAACCCCTAGAATTTAGATGGGAAAAGTACTAAATATGGCACATTTTTGAAAAGGTAATTTTATAAAAAAAATCAGTAATACCAATATTGTTGTGTCAAATTTCGATTTTAGCGCCCTCTTGAAGACGAAAATTAGGCACCTAGCCTTTCTTATTTTCCTGAACTTTAATGCGCAAATGCTCGGACACATCGATTTTTGTTTATAAAGGGACACATTCGAAGCATACTTTTTAACCCGCATCTTTAACCCCTTGGTGGGGTCAATCACACCCTTAAAATTTTAAAGTGGGGAAACTGGGAGAAGAGCTAAACATTTTAAAGGACAAACAATTTATTTTCTTACGATACCCTATTTATTGAATTTTACTTGAACAGTTGCTCCGAAAACGGCTTTAGAAACCTCAACCTTGCAGTTTTGGTATTATACATATTGAAAAATTCACTTAAATTTTGGTTATTACGAGTTAAAACTA